GAAATTGTTCTGAAAGAAAAGGTGGTACGTCCGAGTTATGTCCGCTAAGATAGTGTTTACCAATTGGCGACGATTTCTGTTTGTGTCCATCAGCGTGTTCGTGAAGGTGGCCGCGAGTATAACCAACATATCCTGCATCGCACAGGTTACATTGAAATTGGTAAACTAAACATTGTTGGTTAACAATGGCTCACTTGACTTCTCGAAATTTAAGGTCTTCGTTGAGTTTTCTGCTGATGAACACGGGCTGAATAGTGGTCTTGATTTTTGAGCTGAGGTCTGTGAGACGTTTTTTCACTATATTAGCAGAGACCTGATCTTTAAATAGTATGACAACTCAGATGGGGGCTGGAGTCGTGTTGGTTGATGGAATTTGCTGCTGGTCTGTTACCTTGGAATATACGAATTGTTTGACAGCCAGATTGAATAGGTGCCTCGGGTACTTCAGCTTTAAGAATACAGTCTCAAGCCGATCGCATTCTTGTGAGAAGTACGACCAGTCGGAAGATATGCGGTAAGCTCGATCTAACATGGTGGTAATTAGACTGTGCTTGTACCGATTATCCATTGGCTCTGGTAGTGGAGTAAAAGGCCCGTATTGGTTTTACGTAGACCTTGGTCTTGATTCTGGGAGCTAAGTTTAACAGTTGAACACCGATGAAAGGAAGCGAGGCATTCCATTCAACCTCCGTAGTAAACTTTGCTGATGGGTGGCAGTGGTTTAGGGTATCAAGAAAAATTTCGGCTGAAGCTATATCAGGCATGATGGTAAATGTGTCATCCACATATCGTTGACCGAGAAACTTATGCATATGCTTAATGCTACTTAAATGATTCAGGATAGTACCATAAACGCGGCCGAGTGACACTAAATAAGCTATGTAACGTGTAATTAATTTTACAGTCATTGGAAACGGAGTGGACGAAACCGCCTCACAAAATGTGAGATAAATCTTTATGTGGGAGTTCAAGTTCTGCCGGTTTGAATCTGCGTATGCTCTCTCGATCACGTCGCATCCGAGAGAATCCAATGCTCGAATATCTGGTGATGGTTGAACTGGCCTGCGACGATCTGCAACAAAGGCACAAAGCACCCATTAAGAAAGGTCAAAGGCTAAATCCACGCTGTCAATGGATAACATGTGAAAACAAAGGTTACGCTGAGAAGCGAGTTCATGGAACTTTCTTTGAAACGTAGAATCGGCATCCCAGCGGCTAAGGCAATTGGCAAAGACATTGTGGACCCCCGGAATATGAGAGACATGTAAGTCTAAATCATAATGAGCTGCACCTGGACGGCCGTATCGTTGTCACACGAAATCTGGAATCTAGAACCTGCCAACTTGGGGGCCCAAATCGTAACGGCCATGACAAGTACAAACAGTTCTAACGCGTTGATGAGCAAGGCCAATTCTTCAATGTCCTTCGGAAACTAAGATCCATCACAACCCGGCGCGTAGTAGAACCACGTTTGTAGACTGTCTGTAAAACGGACGTAATAACGTCGTACGGTAAAGGATTCTCTTTAAGGGGCCCAACAAGAGCTTTGAAGCTCAATTCTGTTGATGTTGATGTTGAGGATGTTGGACATCCTCGGGATAGGCAAGAGCTGACTGATGATTGGTGTGAATAGGCTGAGGCAAAACACTGGACGTATAGTTTATAGGCCAACCGAATTGCAAGAAAGCAACAACGACGTGGTCGACATAGTCTGTCAAATAATGTCTCCAAACAGAAATGTTCAGTTGCGAAGAAACGGGTATTTTGGCTCCGTAGGCATTCGGTTGTGGAGACTTCGTGGCGAGAATATAAGCGACAAACGCGCACGATGAATTAGCGGAGAAGAATTCATGTTGCGATAACATATGTGGTTCCGTTTTCGTGTCCGTGTCTGAGTCCGTGTCATAATCCGTATATACTGTTAAGCCAATAGTCTGACTGTCCAGTCATTGCAGGTTGGGAATTGGCATTTTCCGCTTGGGACAATGTAGCATAGGGTGCTCGCTTGACTTGCAAACTCGGCACAAATGATGTGAGGCGTAGTTACTAGCAGTGGAATCACAAGAACAAGAACCCTTGTAATTCCACGCTTGGCAACCTTTAGCTGTGTGTTCTTGTGAAGAAGATCCAGAAGAAGGCGAAGAAGAAGCAGATGAATTCAGATTCCTGGAATGGGTCGAGCGTAAATCCGAATGCTTGAAAAAGGTGGACGCCAGGTCCCGAATTTCAGCAATGCGATCTCAATCCAATCTACGCAGTTCGACTTGCCATGCCAAATAGGAATAGAAACCTCGAATGCTTGCCCATGTGTAACTAATGGCTTTGGCCATAAGAACTTCTAGTATGGCGAGCATGTGCGCGTTCGATGCCGTATCATAGGTTCGAATCATCGCCAAATAACCGGCTATAAAAGATGTTAAATCTAAAGAATTGCACTCAGGATTTATTGAGGTACCTGGAACAAAGTCTTGCGGCCAGTCGATGATCTTTTTCTTTGTGTCAGACTTTCCAGTCGCACATGGTGCTGCCGATGTAGTTGGGGGCGTTGCTGGTCCGAGAACTTGACTTGGACAATTCTCTCTGTTAACAAGGTATCTGGCGGTAAGTAGATAGGGTAGCTTCCCTGGATTCTTCTTCTACACGCGTACAGACCCTCTTCATTCTTCTGCAAATTAAGTTTGAGCTGATCTTCATGGAACATGTCTGTGTTTAACGTGCTGTTTTGAGTTCTTCCTACCCCGAATTTACTAGCTTGGCCTCTGCTTCTGTCTCTTTACTTGGCTTAGTTTGCACCACTGCTGGCCACATTTCTGGTTCAGTCAGCCAGTTTGGTCCCTTCAGCCAGATTTCAAGACGCTCTCTAGACAGGATACCTCTGCTCCCCACGTCAGCTAGATTTTGCTCTGTTCCCACATACCTCCACTTTACATAGCCCTTGGCATTAATTTGGGCAACTCTATTGGACACAAATTGTTTGTAGCTCCCTTGACCAGCGATCCAATGCAAGACTACTGTACTGTCTGTCCATCTATACACAGACCTCACTACGTAACCTTCCAAAGCACTTCTTACATTGTCTACAAGATTGGCTGCCATGTGAGCAGAAATGAGCTCCAACCTTGGCATGGTAAGCCCTTTCTTTGCTAACCGTGCCTTTGCTGCCAACAGACCCTGGTCAATACCAGATTCTTGATACACGACTGTGTACACTGCTGCTGCTGACCCCTTTCCACTTGAATCACAGAATGCATACAGGTCTAGAGCTTGGACCGGTTCCTGAGCTATAGTTAGACTGTTTGGGAATTTCAGCTCACCAAGCCAGTTTCCCTTAAATTTCTCCCATTGTGCTTTCAGTTCCTTGGGTAAAACAGCATCCTAAGGGAGGTGTCGGTCACATGCTTCTCTGAAAACCATTTTCCCTACCAAAGTTACAGAACTTGCTACCCCAAGAGGGTCATATATTGAAGCTAAAGTCCTTAGCACATCTCTCTTTGTGGCTTCATGTGAATCACCAGAAAAGGTCACAGCCAGAGTGTCCTCCACCTTATCCCCAGGGAGCCCGAGTAGTTTTGCTTCATTGGTTTTCACCCCCAACTGTCACCTCGTCCAATTTTAACTTCTGGCACAATCGCTTTTACTTCGTGGCATTCTTCAACTTTGCTTTCCATCAGCTTACGATGTCTTTGAATCGGTTTCAGCAAATTGCTGCCAGCAATCTTGTGTGTGTTTTCGTTCGTCAGCTGCAATACTTTCAATTTGTTTCAGATTGCTTTCTCCTGATTTTCCACGGTTACCGCTGGTGTTGTCATGACTGTGTCGTGGCATGGTCGCCACTTTGTCAGAACTGTTTCTACAGACAGTAAACTCACGCTCATGATAAAGAACAGAACTGTTTTAACACTTTTAACTCTCTCTCGGTAAAGAGCACTAACTCTCGCCATGTGCTTTTTTGCTGATACATCACTTCTTGAAAACGACATCCTATAATATCCATAATCCTAGCTCCCAGGCCCCAAATTAAAAAAACGCGAACGAAACATTCTTAACATCCGAGTATCTACCTACGAATTCTCACAACCTGTCTTTATGGCAATCTTACTTCCGAGTATTTTGATTGTCACCCAACATAACTGAAAGATTACTTTGCATGAAATACAGTATTAAAACAATGAACTGATTCAAACTCAAGTTTTTATTCTGGCTAAAAACTGTTACGTTGATAAAAGAACCAAATCCAATACGATGGGCTTGCTAGCAGAGTACGTGTAAATTTAACTTTACTCAGTCAGGTATATAAAAATTGCGGCAACCCTTAAGCGATAAATGTCCAAGCAGCGAAATAAAACTCTGTCCTGAACTCAACCGTAGATGTCGACAAATGGATTGTAAGTTTGTATTTACACTATTTTGGAGAACTAAATTTTGGCTCTGTTCTGTTGTTGCGTCATATTTGCATTTGATGTTGTTGCTGCTGTTGCTGTGCAAGTAGAAATTGCTCTTGTAATCGAGCATGACGCTCTTCTCTTTCTTTGCACCGTTCTTCTTCTTGCCTATCTGCAAGGTCCTGCTTTGCTTTTTCACGAAGAAACTCAGTGGTATCGCTACCATATACCTCCTTGACTTTCTGGGTTTGACTTCAGCAGCTTCTTCCATTTTTCTCTTCGAGGTTTCTCCCAGTTTTTTACACGCCTTTCTTCTTACTTCTACCCTACTTGCTTTGTCCCTACTCCCCTACTTGCTTTGTCTTGCTCTCACACGCTCCGTCTTGTTACTCAGCTTCTTGCCACTTTTCCACTTCCATAGCAACATCCAGTTCGGAATCCTGAACGTCAACACCACTTTGTTTCACTTCGTTTTGCTTTGAACTTTTCCAAAACTTTTCCAAAACTTTTCCAAAAGAAGACTGAAATGCTCCCTCGTTGAGCGCTTTGTCACTCGAAAGTGAATGAGTCTATTTTCATTTAGCCTATTTTCAATTTCTTGCCACACTTTTCTACGCTTCACTGTTCTGGGCTTAAAGTGTCCACAAACAGACCTTCCACAGGGGAGACTTTTGCCGAACCCCTTGGCACCTGATCATTGCTTGGATTGGGAAGTAGGCAGATGTCTTTGTAATAATACTCTGGCCTGTCTGCCATGGTAGCTGTACATGAAGAGAATGAAATGAGCGAGAGCTTCCTCTCCACATGCTCCGGCGGTTTCTTATACCTGACAGGCCTCCCACAGGTCTTATTGGAGGAATGTAGCTCTGCCATTAGGTTGAGACTCTTGAGTAGTATTTCTTTCACATCTACTTCGCGAGATCCGAAAACAAGTGCTAATCTCGTCTCGGACGCTACTTAATTGTTGCTGTGAGCTTTTTACCTCAGTATTACATGATGGTGACGGTGTCCACTGGCCTTGTAAATTCATTACTGCACTTCAAACAGTTATTATGACCTGCTGAATGTTCTGCTCCGGCATTTTGCTCCTCTTTGGAGCAAGAGTTTGCGTGGGAAATCAGGCCTACTTCTGATCCCTGCCAGGAACCTGGGAATAAGATGACATGGAAACAAAAGCACTTCCGCCTCCTCATCTTTTATCGAATATCTTTTGGTTTTATCAAATATCCGTTCTCATTCTATCTAACATCTTTTTTTTGATGTACCAAACATCTTTTCGTTGTATTGAACATCTTTTAGTTTTATAATGGCATCTTTCAGTTGTATCAAACATCTTTATTTGTTGACTTATTGCACATGACATTGATTTGTGAAGGGTTGTTATTTTGTGCGCAAAAAGCCTGGACGGCTTAACTCAATGGTGTTAAAAAGAAACTCTTGAACTTTGAGCTAAATATGTAATTTTCGAAACTGTTGTGCTTGCGTGCATGGTAAAGCCATAGACCATTTTCATGCGTAGGCAGAGATGATCAACTGATTGATAACGTTAACCTCTGTCAAACTAGGTTTAAAAAAGCCCAGCTTGGTGAAGAAAATCTGTTTTTCTTGGTTGAGTTGCATAACATGTCCAGAACTTGGTTAAGACCGTAGATAACCTGGCCACACTTGCAGTTTTTTTTTACACGAGTTAGCTTTAATTAGTTAATTGGAAATAACTCGGTTAAGTCCCCAAGTGCGGTTGCAGCTGTTGTCTGTCAAATCTTCATAGCCAAGGCAAAAAAGGAGTAGATCTACCTGTTTTAGTTTCTCACGTACATGCAGGTCAGGGATGTCGTTCTTTGAGAGATATGGAAGGCACTCATTCACTTGAGAAGACTCCAAATATTCTGTAATGGACTGTGACAATCCAGTTACACCAAACCCAGCATGCAATCAGCTGACCTTCACACTTATAGTACTCGGAAGCTAAATACTGTTCATTATGTACAGGAATCAGATGGTTTATCTGCCCCTCAAAATGAATGATCCCACCTTCACCATCTCGCATGCGAGACATACATGTGGCAAAGTTCTCTGGTAAGTCCATCCCCTTCCATCCCTTCTTCACCATCCTACGCAGTTTAGACCTTGCCTCCAGGTTAAACTGCCTCCACTTCAAATATCTGAACATGTCTCTTAAACTTTTCTTTATCTTATTAGCTTTGGCCCCCCTGATGTAAGGAAGATCCTGCGGTTCCTTTTTAGCGAGAAGCTGCTGATAGGTCCCAGGCTGGACAACTGGCATGAGAAGCTGTTGAATGATGGGTAGTTGTGCTCTTGTCCATCTGCTCATCAATAATAATAATAATCAGTTTATTAAACCCTTTGGTAGTGTATAACACTAAATTACAAGGGAGGTCAAGAATACACAGAACACATAATTACCAAAAATACAACGGAAATAAAGTTACGGTATGCTGACATCTTTTACATCCATTTTAATTTAAATTTAGTTTTTATGTTTTGATTTCCACAATATTGCCATTAACAATCAGGATAGACAGAGGTCGGAAACTGGGATTATGGCAACAATGCACACTTTTCTCCGAGCGCAATATTAGACGATCCTGTTGATAGTGTACTCTGTGGCCCTTTGACACAAAATAAAATAGAGCGTTGGTGGCGTGAGCTGCTGGATAGGATGGAGAGGTTTTTTAAACGTCAGTTGTCCTCTCTAGTTGAGAATGGAGATTATGACCCTCGTGATAAAAGAGACGGGTATAATTTATATAAGTTATGAGTAGGCACAAACAGTATTCTTATGTGTCGGGATTGAAAACTTGCGTTTTGTAGACAGTTTTGCATGTTCCGCACAATCTGTTTGGCTACACACTAATTAATAGCTGCAGTGTTTCTTTCATAGGTCATAAAAAGAATGTTCATGTGTTTTAAAGCCTTTTCAGAATAATAACTGACTTGCACATACTAACTTTTTTTTTTCTGTTCACTCTGAAGGAACCTACTTGCATATTTGTACATCCCTGTGCTACAGAAAGAGCTAGATACCTTCAGAGTATCAGTGTGGAACAACCACCGCATGCGCAAGGCTAAAGAACTTCCTGATGGAGTACCAGAGCATATTTACATGTATCCGCAGAATTATGGAGGGGGAAAATGTGGCCTCATAGTAACCGAAGAACAACTCCAGGAAACAGCAGAACTCTCGGGTGTGTTGGAAGGGACAAGTGACTATTAATTTTGGAGGCTAGGTTCACAACAGAATGTGAAAGACACATCCCTGACACAAATGATGTTGAGCCTGCACAGGCAGCGAATGCTTATTTATTTTTAAAGAGTAATTTTGATGTAAACAGGGTGTAACAGTAGCCTAATTCAATTTTCACTGACTCATATTTTTTATTTAACAATATGAACTAATTTTTATTTAAAATATCTAAAAGCCTTGTCAGCCCTGCACCTCTACACCGACAAATTGAGTTCATTATTTCTTTTAAATCTTTTAAATATTTTTGTATTTTTAAATAAATACTAGTGAGCAGCACTAGGCAACAGATCTTCTCAACTTGCTTTAATGTATCTGACCAGTTTTGTCTGATTACCCAGACTTCATCAGGAAGTTTCAGCTACATAGTTACTGGGGTAAAAGGAACTTATTTTATACATCATCTACAAAGTACAAATCACGTTTCAGCACAAGTGTGAACAGCCAAAAACACCTACAGACTAAGTGCAGGATGTGACAAAACTCCTGCATGACTCTGAGAATATTGTAGGTTTATTTTGGGGCTCACTAGTATTTATTCAAAAAAAATTATTTGGAATGAGAGGCCTGACAATGCTACATTTTCTGTGGCCAAGAGCATTACTTTTCCAATCTTTGGAAATGCTGATACCCAATCTGCTGACCATAGAAAACAAATTTTTACCCATATGTGAAAACTGTGCAACTTTTGAGTAACAGAAAATGCTGTTTACAGTTCCCAAATTCCTTCACTGGGAAAGAATACTTTAGTGCCTGGCAGCCTAAATTGACATTGATAGAATGGATAACTATATAAGTACCTAAACAGTCTAAACATAATTGATTAATAAGTCCGTTTTAATTACTATTTACTGAAATATGTGCCATGCAAATCACAGAGAACAAACTTCAAACTTAAGGCAACTGAACACAACATGCTAACAACAACTGTGAACTTCTTTACTGACCCATAGGGTTGAGTATTGATGCTTCACCTTGAACAACAACAGAAATATATTTCAATGTAACTGACAATTAGGTAGCAAACTGGAAAACGTTCAAACAAAATGAACACTGGAAAGTTGTAAAAATCAGATGACTGTGGAAAGTCAAATTTTTCAACCCAAGTTTTTATATCAGAGGAGTGATTGTTTCAAGGGGATGTGGATAGTTTCTTGACTCACACCACAGTAGCTTTAACAGGTATGAGGACAAACAGCACTTGGGAACAAAGTTTTACAAGTTTAGCAGTTTGCAGTATTTATTGCATTTGTGTGTATTAAAAAAAGTTTCGATGCCTTTTGTTGACCAGTTACCAGTGCAAAAATAGTAGTTGTTTGCTTCATCCATGTGTGTTGTTGATGCAATTTCAGGATCACACGAAGTGTAACCAACTCCTTGGATATCTAATACCATTAATTGGGTGTTTGACTTCTTGTAGGTGTAGTGGCTGAAGGTCTCGGCCTTCATGCTTAGTTCCGAGGCTTCTTCACTACAGACTAAGCCATCATTATTGATCAGTTTCACAAAGTGCCCATCAATGAAGGTTTCTATTGTTACAAACTCATTGCCCATAGATGAGAAGAAAACTTTGTTGTACGTAAAGGTTCTTCCAAACTCTAGCACTAGTGCTTCTGCATCCATTGACTGTGCAAAGTTTCGTGCCAGAGCATTCAGTTGAACAGATTTCCTGGAGTGTGCTTCCATTGAACCGAACAGCTGAATTATACCAGGTTTCTCTCCTTCTTTGTATTTCTTTAATACATAATCTCCTTTAGGAAGGCCTGAGCCTTGGCCATATATGCCTCTGTAGATGCACCTTCTGAAAACGACTTACGATGCAGCGAAAGTGTAACCGGAAAAGGATCTAACCACTTCAATTCATTGACGGCAATTTCTTCTAGATGAAGCGTGACAACATTTGTTTCTGGTTCTATAAGCTGGCCCACTTTCAACATTTGACTAAGAGAGACAGAACGCGGTATTACAGACGATTTTGTGACAGCTGTCGCTGCACTATCGCACTTTCGTGGGCTAACTGGCTCACTTTTATGTAATGGCCGGACGAAGACTGGCTCCTCGGCTTTTTGCGACTTTTCATATTCCAGAAATCTGATATGAATGACCTTCGACCAGTCTTTGATCTGACTTTCATGCGTGTAAGAGGGCCCGCGTTCGCCCGCGAGAACATCACACTCGCAATTTGTTGCAAAGTGCGACTTACAGGCATCTTTGATATTCTTGAAAGTTGGTTCTTTGTCGAACGGCACGGGGGTTAAAGGGCCAATGTGGTTGTACTTTTGGCACTTGCCTTGAACGTTTGCCGATAGTCTCTGCACAGTCAAGAAGCCTTCAGATGCACTGGGGCTAGCTTTATCTACCCGTCTCTTTCCTTGGCGCTCCTTGTAGTCGTTCCATTGCTTACGTTTACCCGACATGATTGAAACAGAGAAATCATGCAAACACCGCTTAGGAGCCACGCAAAAGATCAGCGAAGTGCATTGTGGGCTGTGGCATCGATAGGCCATGAACAACATTTTTTTTTTTTTAAGAAAAACCTTATGGCACTGCTAGGCCAAGGAAATATTATTTTCCTTTCATTTTACCTTTGCTTAAAAATTATTTTACTTTACTTTCTATTTTTTTCGTTTGAATTTGATTTAAAGTATCTCGATAATAATTTTTTTTCGTTTAAAGTTTAAAAATAAAATGAAATAACATAATAAATTACGGGGAACTTACAAGATACTACACAATTTTCTTATGGCACTCCTAGGCCACCCTAGGTCGCCCTTGGGAGCAGTTAAGCGTCTGCAGGTATCTGCATCAGAGAGTTTAAAATTGAAATTGAAGATTGTCTCAGTTGAGGTGATGCTGATGTTAAGTTTCTTGCCTTTCCCCTACTGTTAAAATGGGACAAAATGGGACATAGGATGTAGACTCTGATAGGGTGGGCTTTCTTTTGGACCACTATGTTTTGAATTGAACCACAAGCCAACTAGCTGCTTCACCACTCCTAGGAACACACAGTGCATTGCATCTATGGCAATACCATTGACAATGTCGGAGCTTGGAAGTTTTAGCAAAGGGCTTCGCACCTTGAAGCCGCACACCTGCAAAATAGAATTAATGTGCTAATGTTTAGCATTATTCAATAATTTATTAACAAGATAATGGTATATAAATGAATTCGTGTAGAAAGTAAAAGAAAGTGGAATAATGTGCACTATACATTACTGCTAATTAGACTAGTATCGGATAACCTACTGTTTTATTCATCTCAAGGCTATTGTATGAATGAGTTTACTTCTTCTACTCTTCTTGGCCTGGTATGTCCTGATGCAGTGTTGTGAAAGGGAAATGAGGAACTCTGTTGGTTTCTCTATCCAGTCTGATGTCGTTAATAGGTGCCTTCATCAGGGTCTTTGGTATTCTGCCGTTGGGCCATTCATTTCATAGATTTGCAATGGCTGTCTAAAGGGTAGACTTTGTGTTCGTCACTAGAGGTTCAGAGCATCCACACGTCCAGACATTGGCTCCAGGCTGAGAGCGCCAACATTTCATGAACATTCAGGCCAGGCTGTCTCTTTCTTCTGCGAAATCTACTCTGACAGCGAAGCCACAGCGCAATAAATTTTAACAACTTGATCCAGGAACTAAACCGTTTCACTATAAGAACGACGCTAGCATAAACCTTGCTGACCAACACAGCGAATGATTTGGGCTCTTGCTTGATTTCAGGGTTATTCTCAGTCAGTGTTGTTTCTGTTCCTTAAACAGTAACAATTAAATCCAAACTAAATTGCTTAATCCAACTCAACGCTTCTCGAGCCCAAGTTCCAAGTCAAAAACTCTAAAAACTCTCTAGTTCTTCAACAAAGCTAGATGATAAAGCCACATGACACCATGACGTAAGGTGAAACGCAACGCAAAATGTCTCTTACATTTCTTCCCCTCCCGAATTACAGGGGATCTGGAATTCGAATACATTTTAACTGAAATACATCCTTAGTTTAAATATCAGTTCTTTGAACTCCTCTTGTTACACATTAAGCTGACTACGCTTCGCTTAAGGGTCTTGCCATTAACCCGTACATCCCACTACTCGCACAAGGCCATTAGGGTTAGGACCAGGGTACGTAGGCTCAATGCGCCCAACATTCCACTGTCATCTCACTGTACTGGGATCAATAACAAGAACATTTCCAACCTGCAAATTGACGTCACGGAAGTACCATTTCTGTCTTGATCCAATCTGCGGTAAGTATTCTTTCATCCATCAGTTCTAAACCTGTCTGACCATCCAGACTCTCCAAACCAATCTGGTTGCTGACATTAAATTGACTTTCTGACCATTAGCAGCATTGATAATTACTTTTTCCTTCCTAACATCCAACCCCAAGACCGGAACAGCACGCAAGGCAATACTCCTCTGTTCATGTTCTTGTACTGTTTCATATGTACTGGACTTTTCCTCTGTCACGGGTATGTCAGTCTTCCCTATATGAACCCAGGGGCTACTTTCTCCTCATGAAGTAACCGATAGTGTCTGTCCTTGCATCCGTCAATTCCACACTCTCTGCTCCAAGTACATGAGTCACCAAGGTGCCCTTTCCCCAAACAACGATAACACAGTCCAAGTTTCTTTGCCGTCTCCCATTTCTTTCTATGTTCCATTCCCTTGAGCACATCACATTTCCAAATTGAATGTTTTTGGTCGCACAATTTACAGGGACGATCACATTTCTCTTCTGTGGTCCGGAAATAAGACTTGGTTGAGCTCTTTCCTCGTTTGCTGGACAAATCATGCTTAATTTCTGACGCTATGCTTCCTCGGTAACCCAGTGACGCAGCTCTTCAAGAGACTCCATGCTTCCCTTTTCTTTAATCCATTGGTAGTACTGGCTAAGTAGAGCTTGAGGAAGTTTTTCCAGCACAATTGCACACAATGTTCCTCCTTTCAGGTCAGCAAACTTCTTATTTTCCTTTAAAGAAACCACAGTCCTCTCCACTATGTCGTTGAATTTTTCCAGCTCTCTTGGGTTATCAGCGTTTATTGGCCTCATCTTACGTAGCTCATCGATATAGGCTTGAACCTGTGGCCTGTTTCCCCCATACTTTTGATCCAACCTTGCCTTAGCCGCTTCATACGCATGATCCGAGTAACCAAGCCCTTTCACCATTTCGGCCGCCTCTCCTTCTTTGGCGTTTCCGTCGATAATTCCGCTGCTAATTTGTTCAGAAGTTTCGTAAGACTTGTCTCGAGGGTTCTTTTCTCCTTCTTTAAGTCTTCTATTTTTCCATCCATAATTCCTCCAGCTTCAGTTCTCGATGGACTTCCCACCAAATGTTTCCAAGTTCGAATGAGTCCCTTGAAAATTCCACAATACTGGTTCCGATTAGTCCAACTATTACACAAATGCGAATATCCGGTTTCCGAAGGACCAAAATGTTGTTTCTGTTCCGTAAACAGTAACAATTAAATCCAGACTAATCTAACTCAACGCTTCTCAAGTCCAAGTTCAAAAACTCTAAAAAGTCTCTAGTTCTCACCAAAGTCACATGATAAAGCCACAAGACACCATTACGTAATGTGTAACACAACGCAAAATGTCTCTTACAGTCAGCTCTGTGCTTTCGTGGGCACAGTCCTCCCACTCAGACTCGGATTTTGTTAGAAATTCCGGCCCCTTTATCCAACGGCCATTGTAGACGAACGCGTCTGCTGTAACTTCATCATTGGGTATCTCTTACGTCTTCATCAAGATCTTGTTTAGCTGAACTGACACAGTACCAGCCGTCAACTCTAATCGAGGAGTAGTTGTTTCCTTCAAAGGCGCCAGGAGGGACTTGCCAACAAGAAATGAACAGTGAATCTGACCTTGGGTATCGACCAAGCAAAGGTACGATACAGCACCAGAAGCCACCTGAGAGGCGTCACAAAAGTGATGGGTATGGGTGGTGTGTACGGCGGAGAGCTTCGTTGGGCTTGCACATGGTTACACACAGTCGTATGTCACCATTTGGCTTGTCGACAATGACAAGTGGTGACACCCATTGTGTCGGGCCCTTAACCTGTTTGATATCTTAATGTTCAAGCTGTTTCAACTTGGCTTCCACTTTGGCACAGCAATGTAAGGGTGCAGGATGGGACTTTTGTAAGACCGGTTGTACAGTTGAGTCAATGTTGGGCTCAAGTTGGTAATCTTTTAGTTTCTCGATTTTGCCGATGAACACTTTTGGGAACTTCTGTAAAAGATACTGGTACTTATGGTGTACAGGTGAATGTTCAGTAGTTGTAAAGGCCACAACATGCAACATTCGTAGACGGGTTAAGGTTTCACAACTCAGGAGGCAGCCAGCATTTCGTGCTTTGAGTACCAGGAACCTGGTCAGGTCCATCTTCCCTGACGGAGTATTGATCATTCCAAAAAACAATCCGGCAAGGGGAATCGGGGCAGGGTTGTCTTCTCCATGAGGATGACGTTTCACATTGGTTGGTTTTAAGGGCACTGTTTTTGCGGCACTGATCGCCTCATATGTTGCACAGTCAATGGTGTTCGCTGTTGCACCAGAATCAATACACACTTGAACTGGAGTACCTTGAATGGTGTGACTGTAATGTCTGCTTTTGCTTAGGGTTGAGATGAAATGCCTCACGACATTCATCCTCATCTGAAGAATTACAAACATACTGGGCCTTGGGTATCTCTGGCTGTTTGCTATTTGGGTGACCTGGATTTGAGGTTCTTTTCATACATACGCATCCAGAATGGTGTAGGATTCTGTACTGAGAACATGTCTTATGAAAAGCAGGTCATCTGGGAGTACGTGGCTGGTGGCCGCGCTGGTTACCGCAATGCGTACAATTTGTATGTGGATATTGGGGCTTAAAGGGTTAAGACTGCTGGTAGCATCTGCTTTTTAGCATCTTTTACAAATGATACAAGTGATCTTTGATAATCTTTTTTGCAGAGTAACAAGACCTCTGCCAGCAAGTCAAAAGGTAAGTAAAAAATATCAAATAGCTGCCACTCTAAACAAAATAAATCCAGCATGTTTGCATTGTAATTCAGATAAGTTTTGCCCATTCTTAACCATTATGACTTGTTTGTCTCAATCTATACACTGTTTCTTTGATGAATTCTGATCTTATTTTATTTGGTCTAATTACACCGATGTCTATTGAAATATCCTTTTTTATGTTAGTATGATTGTTGTTGTCTTTTGAGTAGGTGAAAATAGATTTCAAAAGTGAATTAACTGCTTACATTGTATGTGTATAATTTTAGGTGATAAGGATGCAACAGCTGAAGATAACAAATTAAGTGACCCTGTCCCCTCGGCAAATGTTAAGGTAATCATCCACCTAATTCA